GCTGGGCCTGATCCCCTGGTTGTCCCTGTCCTGGTTCCAGCTGGGATTTTATCTCAACCCGGGACATCCCACCGGACCGGGGTGTGAGCGAGCAGCTGCGTGGGGGTTTATTTGCTGGCTGGGGTTAAACCATGACAGTCTCGCACATGGCTTGATGGCTTGTGAGCGCCCTCAAGATGAACTGCTTCATAATCTTCCCCAGCACCGAGGTCAGGCTGACAGGCCTGTAGTTCCCCGGATCCTCCTTACGGCCCTTCTTGTAGATGGGTGTCACATTGGCTTCTCCCAGTGAAGAAAATCCTGTGTTTTGTCTGTGTCTGTTTCACATGGAAAACGTAGGCTCTCTACAAAAGCTCAATGGCAGCAGAGAATTCAGTATGCATGTTTTGAGAATAACTATTAGATCACTTCCACTAAGCAACGTAGAAAGAATAACAATCCTTCTATTGAACCCGACAAAGCTTTGGTGCCAAACAGGTGCTCAGCTGATCTGTGCTTCAGAAGCAGAGCTTTAGAACAATGAATCCTGAAGTTACAGTAAAAATCCAATTTTCCACAGAATTTGGACGTCCTCAGAGTTCTGTGGAGAACTGAGGAACTAAATTCTGGAAGTAGGCACCTAAGTCTTAGTTGGTAAAAAAAGATCAATTGTTAGAGGATTCTTGTCCCAGAAATTTGATTCAGATTTTTAAAAGTTAGAAGTAAAATCCATTAGAATGAAATAAAAACCAGAGACATTTAGTCATGCCTTTTATTATGAGAGGATAACTGAAACACTAGCACTTTTTTCCCTCTTTTTTAAACGCAATTTTAGTATAAAAATTTTTCTTTTTTATTTATTTATAATATTTATTAAAGATTTGAAAGCCTGTGTAACAGAAAAAGTGTTTTAGCCATCATGCCCTGAAAATATAAATGATGCAATGTAGAAATATTTTTATTAGATTACATGATATAGATTGGAGATAGGGATAACCAAAACCACACATAAGCCTTGAAGCGTACAAACTATAACACAAAGCCATTTTGATTTCCATGCAACAGAAGATAACATAAGGATACTAGAAAACAGAAGTAAACAAGAACATGTTATCACTACAGGAAGGAAGAAAATACGGTACTTACCTCTAGTGCATAACAAACAGGTTTGTCTCTGCCCAGTTTGTAAGCTATTGTAGTTAGAAGACCATGCTCAGAAAACACAGACTAAATGGGGAAAGGGGAAAGAAAAGGTAAAGCATGAACAGAGGCAGAAAATATTTAAATAAATATATTTCAATGATAATAAACAAGAGATAAAACCTTCACTGGAAAAAAAATTAAATATGGAAAGTTTAAACAAAGTAAATCATCAGTCACTCTAAATAAACAACTAAGATAGAACCCTTGGATTACTGGTGTTAATTCTTGTTTCCACAAGCTGCCTCAGATTTTTCCATCCTCCTTACAGCAAAGAATTGGGGGTCTTTAGAAGGAGATGTGAATGAGAAGGAAGCCAAAGCTTTGCATTATTTATTCAACTACAACTACAAAGAAACAATGGGAGAAAATGAAGGGAAGAAATAAAATAGCCAAGACAAGGAGAAAAGCATTAAATTAAGTAACACAACACTCAGCACTTCTGGGTGAGGTTAAGAAACATATACAAGGAAAGAGCAAGAAACTTGCTATGAAAAGTTCTTTTTGGAAACTTAAGGAGCTAGGAAATGGAGTCTTACTGAAACACCTTGAACAAATTATTACTTTCTATTCTATCAGATTTCAGTATGCGCTTTTCCTTATCTTTAGCAATATAATTGTTGCTAACAAGTTTAAGAAAGGCTAATATATAGTTGTACTCAAGACTTAAATAAAGATTGTAAAAAAAAAGTAAACAACTAAAAAATGCAACTGACCTTCTGACCTGTATTGCACAGCAAGAAACATCCTGTTCCATACCTAGCATGAAAGCAAAGGAAAGTTAAAACCAGGACGTTTAAAGGATAACCTGTTACTGCAGTCCATGAATCCAACCCCGCTGTGGAGAATCAAGACACCACTTTTTGCCCCTTGAAGGTTATGTTACCATTAACTGATGATAAAACCATCCTCAAAAAGTTGATCTAAATGCAGCCTGCAGCTGAAAAATCTAGTCCCACACCTCTCTCTCTGGCTATTTCTTGTGTAATACTTGATGAAGGTGCAGATACGGCTGAAAACTAAGTGTGAATTCCTCTTTGGTGTTTACCTACTTCAATTCAAAGATTATGAAAGCTACTTTACAGAATAAATATTTCACAATATTAAATTCAAGCTTTTAAAGGGGAAAATTTAAGAAATTGTTACTGTCACAAAGAGGAGGGTTTTCTTTAAACATAGAGTTTAAAAATTTCTAAAAATGGCACGTTTCTCATTTGAAGACCACAACACATGTATGTGTGCATACACACACAAGGACACAGTTTAATAAAAGGAGTATGAAATACTTATAATCCACTCTAACGTATTCTAAGAGTTGATTAGTTCCCTACCTTTTTAATACCCTGAAAATTAATAGCTTAAAGTAGTACTGAGAAAGTCTTCAGTTATGTTTGGAGAGAAAAAGGGTAAAGCAATAACACTAATAGGTTAAAAAATCTCACTTTTAGCTTTTGGTTTAGCTGGATTTTTTCCAAAAGGTCTCTTGTGTTATAAAAGTATCTCTTATAAAAATACTTTGTGACAATATTACTTAGAACCATGTTTGTTTTAGTAAAATACAAGGCCACTAAGCATTAAATTTGTGTATAAATATAAAAGATAAAGTGAAGGTTAATTAGCAACAAGTATAGATTAATGTGTAATTAAATCTGTGAAAGTCCAATACTGTGTATGTACCTACAAGCTCAGTTAAGCACACGGTTGTAAATGGAACAGTAAGTCATTTAAGCAGAGAGCTTTTCCTGAAATGAATGTTTGATTACACTAGTTGCCTGATTTAACTGATCAGCTATTTTAAACAAGGGACACTAAGAGGCTGAGAAATAGAAAAAACCCAAAATTCTCCACACTGCGCTAGACATAGAAGCAACGCTAAGCTCTGCAGCTGAAATGAACCTTTCCCATCTAGCAACGCTGTGGGTTTTTTGTCATTCAAGTTTATGTAATCTAACTCACAGGGCTTGTATTTATTTAACTTTATGTCACAATTTAAATGATACTACAACTGTTTTAATCTGTGTTTTGGAGAATTTTAAAATGAAAAACCTCCTGTCACACAGAGATATTTCCTCAAAGTGACCTTGCTCCAAAATATAACTCACAAACCATTTAACTTTAATATCTTCACTATTTTATATAAAAGTCAGGACACTGTTTACTTTGTAGGTCAACACAGCCAAAAAGTAGAGCTGTAGTTATGGGGTAACTACAGAAGCATTTGGCAGACAGCTTGAAAGAGAACACAATACTAAATTCAAAACAGAACAGTGATGTACCGTTTATCTTACACCTTTCATAATAACTTACGTATTTTTTGCCTGCCCATCTTGAAAACACATTTGCCCAACAAGAGCAGCAGACTGGTCACCCAAGCACTGAAAAGAGAGATTTTTTTTTTTAGCAAATGTCTGCACATGAATCACATGCATGAAAAATGAACATGAACAGATATATTTAACTATAATCTATTAGGAGCATGCAAATAATTGAAAGTGAGGAAAAATCTATACAGACAACCTGTGCTTTTTGCTACTCTTCCCTTCACAAGAACTGCAAATGAAATGCGTTGTGCTATTTATGGTGAACAATTTAAAGAAATCAAAATTAAAATTTACTATCTGTATGCATGTTGTATTGGAAAAAGCTGAGAATCTGCCCAACATTTCTGGATTATGTATATACTGAACTCCTTTTATACATAAAGCAGAGCTTGCTTCCATTTTGCAATGTTACTCATTTACTTTGAGATCCTAAGCTTCCAACAGCACTACTCATATGCATTAAAGCTGTCAGCTGTACTTCCACAGCCAGACCTTAATTTAATAATGGAAAACCCAATCAACTAATAATTCAACTTCAAAAGTTTACTTCATGTTTAACACAAAGTAAAAACCCATCAACTTAATTTGTAGCAGGATTCACCCATCTTAAAGCTTTTTCCAGTGAAGATATGTTCATGCAGTATCAGGTTCTCATGCCAGAATCTGAGTTGAAGTAGGACTTGACTTACCCCGGAAATTGGTACACCTGTCAAAGCTCCAGATTTCTGATTTGCAAGAAGAGAAAGAAAAGCTCCAAATTAGCTTTCCATGACTACAATTTAAGGCAATGATAAAGAAGCTAAACTTGTAATGCTCGAAGGAAAACAAAAAGGGTCACGTAAGCAACACAGTTCAGTTCAGGTGTACAGTGGACTTCAGCTTAATGCAGCTCATGCCTAAAACATTAAAAAATAGAGAGCCAGAAATTTACAGGTATATTTTATGTCACCTCACCAGTTCTTAACATAAATTTTGTTGAAATCATAGTGTACAGAAAATTAGGTTCAGTGTATCCTGTGCAGTCAGTGTCAAGAGTAAAATGCAAAAATGCAAAAATGGTAAAGTGACTAGAAAAAAATGTGATGACACACTAAGCAAAGACAGATGCCTCATTTTAAGATACAGCATTTTAAGTCTCATATAGAATTTCTTCCAAACACTACCGTGTAGTTTTTCAGTTGCATTCTTGCAATAGGTAACATAAGAAATTTATATCCTGAGAATTTTTACTCCTTTCTTTAAATTGTTTCTTTGTGCAACTGTGAAAACGCATTTTCAGTGAAGCCATGCAAATGCATTTCCAATCTGAATCTTTTTTAATTTAATACTCTTTTTAATTAGCTGGATTTAAGGTAAATTGAGTTTATAAATACACTAAAAAACCCTGCATGAATCTGATGTTTCACTACAATAGAATGAATATTTGTAGACAGAATGGCCCACTTCTCTCATTTATAAAATGAGACAGCCAACATTTATTAGCCAGTAGCTGTATTTTTTACTTCACTATAAAAAGAAATATTCAAAAGCCTGCAAATTAAGGCAAACATACATCAAGACTACATTTTAGAAACAACTTTGGCATGAACTCTAATTGTAATATCTCAAATTTGGAAATACCCACCAAATTTATTGGTCTAGAAAGTGTGCTTTTATTATTCTTTAAACCAATGGAAATGCACAGCATCTGAACACAATGGATAAGATATAGGTGGTCAGCCTAATGGAAGCCTCTACTCACCAGGCTAGGAGAGATTTTCTACAGCCAGCAAAAGGAAGAAAAAGAAAAAAAATGGAAGGAAAGGGGAAGAGAAACAGAAGTTCACATTTAAAGTGACCAGCTGTTCTGTTTCAGTTGCCAGGTAGTATCTTTTTCCATTTACCTCACTCATTCAGCTTAATACAACTCACCCTCATCTGACCTTCACATTAATAAAAGTCAGCAATGACTTCTAATGGCATCTCCATTAACAGATTAGCAAAAATACTTACATTTCAGGCAAGTTAGAGTTATATTTTAAATAAAAATCTCATAACTTGTCTTAATTACAAAATGCCTCTATGTTCTTAGTAAACAATAAGGCAAACTACCAGGAAAAAGAATGCAAAATCACAACATCCAGTTTATCTGACTCTGAAGTTTTTAAGAATAAATTAGATGCCACTGTATCGAGAAGAGCTAGTGCTGCATCAAAGTAAACTTGAAACCTCAGCCCCATGATATCAATTAATGATTTACTCCTAAGTAATATTCACAGCTACACTAGAAGCAGTGTGATTAAAAAGACATCACAATATTCCAAAATATTTTTTTTACTGAGTGCAAGAGAAGACTATTTTTCAAAAAGAAGGCAATCTAAAGTGTCACTTGTGATTTTCCAGTTCACAGAAACTGACTAATCTTGCCTTCAGTTAGGTGGAAATAAGACATTATACATCTTGTCCAGTCTTCTTAGGTCATGAAGACTTCCATAGCGACTTTAATCTCTTCTTTTCAATTGTACAAAAAGTAAAAAAATTGTGCTCTAATAACAGCAATCTCATTCTTTTAATCTACGGATTATACATTGCATTCTGATGGGTGGTTTTTAAGTCAATAAGTAACTGTAATAAAAAAACCAAATTTTTATCCTTATCAAAAACCTCTCCCATTTTGTTTTGTCTGTTTGACACTTAAAAGTGAAAACAACAGATATTCATTTTCATATAATATTACACAACAGTAGATAATGACATACTAATAATAAATCAAACAATACTAGAAAAAGCCATTAGTCTTAATCTATGGAAATTCTGTCAAATTTATATCGATATAGTTATATTTTTACAAGATTAACTTCACACATGTGCAAGAAAACATACCATCAGCCCATAAATCTCAGAGGAGCTTCGTACTTTTGGAAGTATTTCCATAGGAATATCAAAGAATCTGAACACAATACAAAAGAATTTATATATATATGGTCAGTGCTAAATCAGAAAGCATTTTGCATTTATTTTCTTAAGTAAGTTTAAGCTGTAAAGAAAAAAAAACATAAAAGGAACTTTGATTTCTAGGGTTTAATACATCACTATGTTTTTTCACTTGTTACAGTACGTGACACTGAATTATGGAGTAAAACAGCATATATTTGAATATTTTGAAAACATATTCAGCTCTTTCATGTGGAAGTCATTGCTCTTCCAACAATATCTTTATAATACTGTTATTAATAAATTTAAATTTAAATAGAGACACTATCATTGTAACTGCCTTACAAATTTGATTGAGGAATAAAGAAACTATTAAATATCATTGTTTCCATGAACCAGTCTTCCACCTACAGAAAAAAATCAAGGCTCTGCTACTTTTAATTAATCCAGACAGTTGTAATTTGAACATCTGGAGAACAATGAATCTTAATTATTAATGTTAACAGTAAATAGAACAGTAATTGCTGATCTTAGTCTAGATAAGAGATTCTTACTATTAAATTAGTTTCTTTACACATCACTTACAGAATCTATTTAAATAACAGTACTATTATTATTACTGAAAAACTGAGCTTACTGGCAGAGCTCAGGATCCCATTCCAAGGAATGAATGTTGAACAACATTGTTCTACTGGCATTGGTTACATCTGTACAGTGAACGCCTCCATTCTTTCCACCTGTCAAACTCTGAACAAAAAAAATATCAACAGTATTCGCCAAGAAAAGATACAGGTTTACTTTAACAAATTACAAAAAAAAAATTTCTATATTCACAAAGCTTTCATCTTGGGACTCGGAATTCTGATATTTCTGCAACAACTAAAAAGGCAGACCTGATACAGTGGAAAAAAGGCATGAGAGAGGTAATAAGGGTACAGCAGTACCTCCTGGATTCTTATATTGCAAAGGTGGCTAATATATTTTTCTGAAGTCCAAGATTTTTCCAAAAGCATAAGCAAAATTTTACAGCAACCTATAAATGGTAAACTACACATAGTTTAAACTACCAAAAAACCACAGCGATACAGGGACAGTAAAAGTTCATCTTGTAAGGAACTTTAATGGAATTTCTTTAGTGGCTTCTATTGACATCACTGTATGATCAGGGGGTATCATGTGTCACAGTACTTTGCACAGAAATTTGCATGATATGGAAATTCATTTTAAAAAGAGTGATAATAAACTCACAAATACATACCCATATAAGCCATGAATCAATAGTACCAAACATAGCTCTTCCATCATCAACTGCTTGCCTAATCTCTTCCACATTATCCAAAAGCCAACGAAGTTTCACTGCACTGAAGTAAGTGCTAAGTGGAAGACCAGTCCTAAACTGTAAAAAAAAAATCATTTCAAGACCATGCAAGTATCTTTTCCATGAATACTGTAACTATTTACAGAAATGGTGATAGTAAGTGAAAAACCAAAGACACAAAACTCAGAGAAATGACACAAGCTTGTTATTTAAGTAAGTACTAAGCATACAATACACAAGTCTGAAAACATCAAAACAAAATGACTAGTGCATTAACGGACAAAGATCAAAGCTGATCTAAATGCAGTTCAAAGACCATTTACGTGGAAATAGTTGTTTGCAGAAGTCCTGTCTTATCTAGGATATCTCCATATGACTAGACAGCAAGTAATGACAACAAAAATGAGCAACACAGCGCAGGAAAGATGGAATTTGTATTCTACTAGAACTTTAAAATCAAGTAAGTTTATATGCTTTTTGACATCCATTTCCTGGCTATAGGAAAATACATAATATATAAAATATATAATATTTATACAATCAATCAAGGAAAATATAAATCAAAGAATTATGACACCTGTTTGCAAGCATTTTTTTCCAAATTGTTATATATATTCCCAGATAAAAAAAAGAATGAATTTGCTCTTTATAAAATATCTTCCCAGTTCTCAGATTGGTTGCAATTAATTTCAATATTAAGGCATAAGATGAGAAAGGATAATATATTTCACATCAATAAATTATTTTCCAAACAGTTTTTTCTACTTGCTCTTAATTTTTCTGTGTGATGTTTACTTATCATCGGATAGGTAGCACATGATTAAGTCTCAGTAGCAATTACTCATTTAACTTCTCTAGTGAGATATGTAAGAAGTGTTAACCACTTATTTTGAGGAAAACAAACATTTTCCAGTCTCAGATCTGTAGTATAGAATGATGCACATTTTTTATTATTTAACAAGCTAAGAAGGGACTAGAAGCTACAACTGACTTAATTTGTTTTGGGGAATTTTAAGCACACATCTCCAAAACATTATATACTGTAGCAGTAAGACTTCAGCTACTATTTAAATGTTCTGGAATATCTCTTACCTTAAAAAAGGCTTTGTTTTTTCCTGGAATTCTTTTAAGAAGCCGTTCAACTGTTGACTGGGTTCTCAGGTCAAGCCACACTAAAAACATGAATAAAATTAATTGATCAACTGATTTAATATACAAAAAGTGACATGTACAACCTGCTTCTACAAAACTAGAGCTCTTGCCAGTAAATTCCTGTATTTATTTTTAGCTTTTCATGTAGTTGAAATAATATTGTATTGCCATTGTATTTTTAATGCACTGTTGTAAAAATTAAAAATGGTTAGACAAACTCATTTGATTCAGAAGAACAAACGATTTGAGAAATCAAGCAGGATTTTCCATGTAATAGGATATATACTTTTCTCTACCAGAGCATAAGCAAATGACTAATACTACTTTGTTTACAGCAGATGACTGTCATTAAACTAGGAGGGTAAAACAAATAGCAGGTTGATTATTTACTATTTCTATGAAAACTTTGAACTAAAGTGCTAAGGCAGAGTTATCAAAGTACAGCTGGGCTTAAGATAAAGCTGTAAACAACATATATTTGAATATAGAAGAGTCCTGTTTTTTCAGTGATTCTATGCTAAACTAAATCTAGCACTTGACATGGCCTAAAAGAGCAAATCTAGACAATTACCATTTCTCAGCTGAAAAGCCAAAGTAAGTTAAAAATAAAACTCAAAATCAATAAGTATTCATTAAACCTACTTAACACATTTTTCCTTTAAAGTTAAACTAAAAGCATCCTGAAAATTTAGTAAGCTCCTTCATTTAAAAGGAAGTGATTTTGAGGGGAGACCTCATCGCGCTCTACAACTACCTGAAAGGAGGTTGTAGCGAGGTGGGGGTTGGTCTCTTCTGCCAAGTAACAAGCGATAGGACAAGAGGAAATGGCCTCAAGTTGCGCCAAGGCAGGTTTAGACTGGACATTAGGAAAAATTTCTTTACTGAAAGAGTGGTCAGGCCTTGGAACAGGCTGCCCGGGGAAGTGGTTGAGTCACCATCCCTGGAGGTATTTAAAAGATGTGTAGATGAGGCACTTAGGGACATGGTTTAGTGGGCCTGGTGGTGTTGGGTTAACGGTTGGACTTGATGATCTTAGAGGTCTTTTCCAACCTTAATGATTCTATGATTCTATGATTAGCGTAAGTCAGAGCTTCATTACATGCCAGGGATGTACAGAACCCCTCAGGAACATTGTTTTTTGTTAAAAGCCCATAAAGCAATTTATTAACTATTAAGTAGTAATTTTAACAGAATAGGCTTTTTTTAATTGCACTGGTGTATACAAACACACAGCTTATGACACAGATATCAGAAAATCAAAGAAGTTAGTAGGCTAGGCCACAATGAGATCTGCACAGGAAACTAGGAAACCATTTTTCTACAACGCGCTCATTTTATGATATTACATATTCAGAAAGTATAGTAGTTACCAATAGCATTATAAAGAGGTTCTCCAGTTGTCTTGTCCCAAACCACTGTTGTTTCTCTCTGGTTGCTGACTCCAATGGCTTCAGGACAAAATAGAAAGAAGTATCCTTTTCAGAAGGTTTGTTTTCCCCTTTTAGGGGGTAAGGGAGGGAAGGGAGAGGTAGAGAGGAGGGAGGAACAGGTAAGGAGAAGAGGAAAGTAAATGGGAAATAAAAGCTTCCAACTTTTTCATGTTATACTCTAGAAATATTACTTCTAAAAACTCATCATTCAACTTTTGCTGCTTAATCTATGTGCTCTAAATCTCTCTTTTTTTGCCACAAACTGAGCGCGCAACAACACTGATAGGGAAACTAGCTTTTACCAGTAAGTCCTAATTTAAATTTCAGAATTTCTTCATTCATCACTTGTCTCCGTGGTTTTGCAAGATTAGGTTAAGCCTACTTTGTAGATTTTGCATTGCTAATATACCTGAAGGACTTACTTTCTCATTATTCCTCCCAAACAAACTGCTCTCAATTCCAGTTTAATATTTTCTTTGAGGCCAGCACACGCTGCCACCTTTCTATTTATTGACTTAAAAACTGGAGAATCTGACTTGCTCAACCATGAGTATATTAAAGCCCTCGGTTACCCTTAAGTACTAGGAATACCTTTTATGTTAGCGATGTCTATGTTCAGTTGTTGCAGTTTCTCGCAGGTCCTTTCCACACATTCATGGACAGACTTTAATATTTCCTTTGGATCTTGTTCCACCCATCTTTAACAAACAGTAAACACCAGTTAATAAAAAGACAAAAAACTACATTTAGGGAAAAAAAGAAATTCTGGTCTGAAAAACCAGCTGAGCATTTTGACACAATCATAATTTTAAAGTATGTTTTAGATATCTAGAAAAAGTGTGATGTATTTCAGCCCTTTTTAAACAGTAAGCTGTATTTTCACAACAAAACCATCAGCAGAAAACAAGGAATTTTGTTTTGTTTTGTTCTATAGAGAGTGCTTTGGCAGCATATGCTAGGTCAGTTAAGAACAAACAAACAAAACATCTCAGATATTAAGCGATTTCTATGGACTAAGCAATTTCTATGGACTAATCTGAAGACTACGATTAAATTGTAAAAATGACCAGCTTTACCATTTTAAATGAGACTTTAAGTCTCGTTTAAACTTTAGTTTTAAACTTTAAAGTTTAAACTTTAAATTTGTTAATGAGTGGTCAGCGTAAAACACTAAGTATTTTTAGTTTATGTAACTCAGAGCACATAACAGACACCCAGTATGTGGTTCTTTATGCCATTTTTTCTACCACACAGTCTTTTATAGCAAATACTATGTTCTTAATAATTATTAATCAACTTCAGTTTTGATCATTCATAGATAAAAACACGTAAGTTCTACCAAAATGTACATAAACAAATAAAAAACCACAGAAAATTCATACCCTTCTTTAGGGAATTTCTGCTGTATCTCAACTTGATGGTGACTCAAGAGCTCTGCTGTTTTTGCATTAAAAACCTGCAAATAAATTACACAACGGAATTTTCTATGAATACAGAAATTTAAACAACAATAACTTAACATTTATTCTTTTGACAAATACAGTGCTGTGATAATTGATAGTTATTTTCTATCATCGACCCAAATATCCATATAACCTGGGTTCAGATATATGAATTTTTGTAATTAAGGTGAGCAAGGAATATTTTGGTAAGTTTTGCTGTCAATTATAACTGCTTTTTTTTCTTGATGGAATCATAGAACCATAGAATGGTTTGCGTTGGAAGGGACTTTAAAGATCATCTAGT